ACCGTACGCCTGCCAGCACTGCGGCAAACGCTTCAAGGCGTCGTCGGTCTACAATCATCACCTGCTGACGCACGGCGAGGAGCGCGCCTACACGTGTCCGTACTGCCCGAAGACGTTCAAGACGCGGGTGCAGCTGGCCGGTCACAAGAACAGTCACACGAAGCCGTTTCGGTGCACCGAGTGCTCGCGGCCGTTCGCGTCGCTCTACGCGGTCCGCGCGCACATCCAGACGCACAAGAAGGACAACAATCTCAAGTTCAGTTGTTACATATGCGGCGCGTCGTACGGCCGGGCGTTCGCCCTGAAGGACCATCTCAAGCAACACGATCAGGACGCGCTGGCGCCGCCGGAACCGGCGCGAGAGGAGGAGGTGCACGAGAACTTTCTCCTCGGCGAGGATTTCGAGGACAAACTAGTCGTCCCTTCGCCGCCGCTTCCCGTTGTCGCGCGTGCCGAAGTGGACGACACTGACTGAGCGACCTCGATTTTTTTTTTGCAACGCGATTCTAGTCGAATCATAGCGCGTAAGAATGTTTTCGTGGAGAGGATAGGAAGATCTACGCTTTACGCGATCGCTGCGTTCAAAACTTTGTGCAGGGAACGGTAAGTTTACGCCAGTTCCATGTTCGTTGCACACGCGATCGCGAAGTTTTCTATTGAAATTCGAGATCGATTATATGTAAGCATTGTTGATTCGTTAGTAAAGTTGACTCATTCGTATTTCGTTCGTATATCAAAGAATTGTTGACATGTTCTCAATTACGGTTCGTGGATTTGATTCAGCATCACTGCCTTTAAGAGACTTTATCGCTAAAAATGACTAATCCACGAATATAAATGTTACATTTTTTAATTAATTTATTCAATAACTTTAATTGGATGTAATTGTGCAATAAGGAATTAATTATTAAACTTTTAGCCAATTACTTTAAAAAGAACGTAATAACTTGAATACTAATGCCGGAAATAAAGTTTCTTCTTAACAAGTAAAAAGTACACACTTTAGAATGTGCGTTGGCTCAATTTTTATATTATCAAGTTACAAACTGGCAAGTACATTTTGCAGAATACACAGAAAAAACTTCAAACATTACATAATTATATCCAATTGCATTGTAAGAAATTTACGAATTACCGATTAATAACATTAATTAAATTTGTGATTAATTCAATTTGAATAGAAGATTTCAAATGCTTTTAAGTTTTATTTGAAATCTCGACAAATAGTTAAAAAAAAAAAAACTTACGTGACGCAATACATAGTGCAGCTGATTGCCACGATTGTTTTAGTTATGTTTTATATTTATTTAATGATACAGTTATTTATACATATAATTAATTTGTTATCCCGAATGGCTTAATTGAAATTCCAACGAAAATTTAAAATTCAAATTGGAATTAATACATTCGGAGCAATTTTAAGTTAAATGTTCACACGTTTATAAGTTCTTATTGTTACATTTGTTGTTACGTGATTTGAAAAATATTCTATAATGAATTAAACTTTTATCCCACCGGAAAATTGTTAACTGGCTGATCTTCATCTCTACTTTGCTTTACGATATTTCTATTTGCAAAAACGTAAGTTCAAAATTATTCGTTATCACGTGTTTTGACACAATTTGGATCACATTTGGATGATTCACTGTTTTCAATGTTAACACAAAGTGAGTCAATTCTTTTTTCCTTCGATAAGTTGATTCAAGATTCTTCAGGATAAAAAGCCATTCTTATTAATGAGCACTTTTTCATCTTCAAAAAAATTATTGAATCTGAACTTACCTTGATATCGTATTCGAACGGAAGATGTTGCTCTGCCTTTATAGAACTTTTCAGTTTTATGTTCGATGTGCAATGCAACCCGCAGTGGTTGAATGCACAATAGTTGTTTTAAAATGAATGATGTTGGGCGCTACTGTAAACACAAAGTTTATATTTTATAGAATATACTTGTAACAGTAGATATTTATTACTTTTTATACGTGCAAGACAAAAAAAATAAAATATTTTGTGAGTTGTTGTAATTCTTTGTATTACGCTATAGTCCAAAAAATAAACTGAAGCACAGAAGGTAAGTAATAAAAAATTGTTAGACGGTTGTATCTTACGAGAGTTTGCAGTATGTCTCGTAATATCTTGGCTGGCAAAAAAAGCAAGAATCGAGCCAACACGCAGCATTTCACAGTGTCAATCGCATTTGTTCTGTAATTTCGCTCTTCTTATTTTCTCATGAATAATAGGATTCACACAAAAAAAAAAACACTCGATAATTTGATAATTGAATCTATTTATCTACACGTTTGCTAAATTTTTTGTAAATTTTTGCACGTAATCATACGTAGTCTCATATCTGCGCGCATGTGCACATTACATGCTAGAAAAATATAAAAGATGAGATAACAGGTAGTTCATAAAAGTATAAACAACATAAATTATTGGCCATTTGAAGCCGGTGTCATGAATAATACGGATGATCGTAAATGCATTATTTGATGGGAACGTTTCTTAGAGAGTCGCTCGTTATCTTGCCGCCCGTCGAAGTGAGCAGTGGATTTCCACTCCACGAAGCTACACCATCACCGTTCACCACAAGATCAACCTGACAACAACACCAGATCATCGCATGAAGAAAACGCACGTCTTTTATTTGAACTTCTTGAAAAGTGAATGATCAATACCTGCAGCTTCTCCCACACTTTCTTCTTTGGATTAAGCACGTCGTCCGCCGTCCCGTCTTCGTATCCCTCGATAACAATTTCATCACCCGGCACGCTACCCGCCGGAGGTCTCAAAGGCTCCACTTGCCTTGTCGGTTCCTCGCTGTGAAAAGTGCAACAGTGAATTTTATCATTCGTACCCTTTGTGCAATACGCTAAGAACTCCATTAACCATTTGTATTTCATGAAGATAATAGGCTTTATTCTATAAATACCACACAACTTGATATTTCTGAATTTAATCCGTAGATGTAATAATCTAGATTTTTTTTTTTTTAACACTTACACCGAAGCACAGAGGACCATTCCGTGCGATGAGATTCCCCTGAGATTCGCCGGCTTCAAATTGGCCAGGATTACCACCATCCTGTTCTCCATCTCATTTATAGGTACGAAATTAACTAGACCGCTAACTATGGTACGTGGACCGCTCGGTTCGCCTAAATCTATCTTCTCCACGTAGAGCGAGTCCGCATCGGGATGTTTCTTCACTTCGACTATTTTGCCCACTCGGATATCCAATCTCGCAGGAGTAATTTCCGCCTCCGCGGCTTCTGTGTGATAAGAATCACAATTACTTTACGAAGCTGATCTTGCATATTTCATCAGCAGTAAATATTTTTAGCAAGCTAAATTACTTTTTTGCGGAGGATATGCTTTGCTCGCAAGCGACTTCAGCTTCGAATTTTCAAATTCCTTTCTTATCGGATCCAGGAGTCTGTTAATGTACACCTCCACGGCGTTTTTCAAATCACCGGGGTGTATCTCTTGTTTCGCGAAGGCCGCTTCCAAGCTCTCGTACTCGGAGAAGGACACGTCGCCACCTGAAATTTAAAAAAACCACTAAGATTTATTATATTATACTTCTCCTAAATCTGTCTAATCATTATTTTTCTACAGCAAGTAATATAAATTGTATACCGAATTCTGCAGATCTGGATACGTTAAATACTTCGCCATTTTTGAATAGCGGAAATATGATGTGTTTTGAGAACGCCAAGACTCCGTTGTCCGCGATATTTCCAGGTTCGCAAAACGCCTTTTTAAGCTTCTTTTTGACCGCCGCAGGATTGTCCAACAAATCAATTTTGGAATCGTCCTCGGATGAAGACATCTTTGCGCCTGCCAATCCGGGAACTGAGAAAAAGAAAAAAACATGAAAAAAGTGCAAACTTTGAAAATTGTGTTACAGCGAAACGTACAGACTTAATACTGACTCATTGGATTCATTAGATGAATATGTTTCTCGTATCCCATCATCGGCAAGTACTTTTCCGCGAAAGTGAAAATCTTTCTTTGATCAACGCCACCGAACTGTGCATCGATTTTCAGATGCTGCTCGTCGAGCGCCTGTAAACCTGGATACAGAAGACCAGACAGCAAAGGATTGGAAATCTGCTTGACGACCTCGGCACCCGCTTTCTTCGCATCGTGTTCCGTCACCAGCGAGCTCAGACGATACATGTCTAATGTGTATTCCCTTGAAAAAGGAAGAGAATTATTTGAAACAATTGTACTACATCAATCAAAATATTTTACATACAATAAGCTATTTTTCTAGTAAATACAGGATTAGTATTTATTGCAACACAAATATGACAAAAAGTTGCACATTATTATTGACATATTTGGGAATTTTATACCCTAATTTTAAACAATAAAAGTATAACATGCTATATAATGCGAGATACTAAAATGCATGGTTCAATATTTCAATGTTAACCTACTTGGATAATTGATAATCAGTTCCTTTGACGAACTTTAGTTTGTCCAGTGGAACATCGATGGATTTCAGCATTGCCTTGATTATAGTTTCATAATATTGAGTACGAAGCTCCAACAGTTCCCAGGGTGCCTTCATGTTGTCCAAGTATGCGTGAAGATCCGCAAAGAGAATCGTTACTTCCGCTTCTGCTCGTAAAAAGTCAGCTATTTTGGACATAGGCGCAAAGTAGCCAATATGAGGCTTTCCTGTTGTAGCTGTGCCCCAGTACAGCTTGAGATCACGTTTCTTCAAGATACTCTTGAGTTTCTCGTCTCCCAGCCATTCTGCCAGATTCCTGGTAATGAGCTTATATTTATCAGTCCACGCCAAAGCCATTGTTGAACAAGTCCTTATATATATATGCCTCTGCAGTTTCCTGAAGATAAACTATACGTTATAACATGATAATTATTAATAATAATATGATTATTGTAACACAAAATAAATGCTTTGTTATACTAAAATCAAATCATGAGTCATATTATTCAAAATTATTCAATTCTTTTCGAATATAAAAGGTTCTTGTCTAAATTTGAAAAAGTACGCACGTGAATAACCTAAAGTATGACACTTTTCATCATTTCTTTTGTACGTTTTGAAAATGCTGACGACATAATGCGAGAAATTACAGTAAAACAAGTTCAAGGTTTATATTTATTTTATATTTAATTATATTAGGCATCTTAGAATAATTTGTATCGCATCAATATGGCAAGAGATTAACCTTTTTGATGACAAAATGTCACTGAAACCGGCTGCAACAGTCACGCAACACGGAAAATGCAACGATTGTGCAATGTAACCATTAAATTGCAATTGCCTATGATTAGTGAATACTTCTAGATTTACAAGTCGCATTCACTTTCCGATTACTTAGGGCCCCTGCGCATGAGATGCAGAAATAATTATTTGATTGGTTGCATCGCTAGTGTTTTCCAGTGATACGCTTTTTGATTGATTGCCGTTTCTTAAACGCATTAACATACATATATATATGCAGAATATACGCGTTTCCTTCAGTTGCCAATCAACCTCTCGCTTTTTCGTGATAGAGCGAATACGTAGCGAGAAAGGATTGGCCATCGTGTCGCTTCTTATCGCGTATCACCTCCTACTTTTGGAGCTATTATGATATATATATACGAAGTACGTGCTATGGAAAATATTCTACAATATTCTACGAAACATGTTTTGTGTACTATACGTCATTTTATACGCCTCCAAGATGTGGTTTAATTAGGTATCTAATCGATATTTTTAAAGACTACAGAAAGACTTGTGATGTAATGAATAAAATAAATGTGTTACAATGATAAGATCTTCGCTTCAGGTACATGCAATCGCTAACGGCGTAAAATATCTTCCATGACAATCGCGCCTTTTTTTTGCAGGATGATCTTGTTTGCAAGACCTCGTGTTCCGTTCGTGAGAAGAAGTAACAAAGATGTCATGCATAGTCGAGAAGGAATATGATCCATGTTTCTTCCGTCGAATATACCGAAAAAGAATCATGCGATAATCATGTTGAATGATACATCTGAAAAAATCGTGATCTACATATTCGTATGAATACATGCGAACATGTAGACAAATGCATTGTGATTATTATTGCACACGGTTCTGTGCAAGAAATCCATATGTGTGTACGATAAGGTTGAAACTCAATAAGATTGTATCAGATCAAAGTTGCACAAAGATTCTTTACAATGCGAGAGTGGAGTCTGGTTGTTATCCTTGCGATACTATCCTTCAGCGCAGGACAGCAGGTGGTAAATGTATGTAATGTAATTTCCTTCATCAGAGATTTATTATGAGCTTTCTCATTCGTCTTTATACACAATGAACTGCGAATAAATTTAAATTGGATAATAATTATTAGAAAAACTTGTAGCATATTTGATTTGATGTAATTAATATAAATACATGTATGTTATATGAGCAGATTAAATCTGCGAGTGTAATTTATCATTTTACTTTAATTAGCATTTTTTGGGGACAAAATTTTTATTTTACATTTAGATTTTTGATGAAACCATGAGAAAGCCATTATAGATATTTAGTTTTGCAATTCACATTTAATTAATTCAAATAATATTGATAGAATCTTAATACTGAACTGGTGGCAGAACAAGATGACCCTCTTCTTTTATTTTTTACTCTTAATGGATCACTTGTGGGTGTTAGCCAGCAATCTGGAACAATACGGTGGCAACAGAACGATGGTAATAATTGCTTGATAACATTGGAAAATCAATTTGTCATATATTATTTGTTACATATTATATATTTTTATATTTCAGAGCCAGCAGTCAGTGCCTACTCAAGTGCCTCACAAGTGCCTATCGATCTGTCGCAGACCAAAATGTATATCTTTTATGTAGCATATTGATATTGATTAGATAATGATAAAATTATAATTATTTTCAGTTTATATAACATTTTTTAATATTATAACTATAATTAATTTCTTTTACACATCAGGCGAAACATCATGAATCTTTATTAACCATTTTATTTTATTTGCAGGCCAGTGTTTCTTCCAGATGCAGACGGCTCTATCTATCTCTCTTCAGGGGATTCAAAACCATTGAAAAAGCTGCCATTTACCATCCCTCAACTGGTGGCTAACAGTCCATGTAAAAGCAGCGATGGCATATTCTACACTGGCAAAAAGATCGACGTTTGGTTCAGCATTGATCCAACGACCGGCGAGAAGGAACAGCTGAGTTTTACCAAAGTGAAAGACACCTGTCCCTTGGAAATGCAGAATACTATCTTTGTTGGTCGTGCAGAATACAGCATTAGCATGGTCGACAGCAAGCACAAGGATAGGAAGTGGAATCTAACGTTCTACGATTATTCCGCTGCACAAATGGCACCAGATGTAACAGCCAATTATGGTACGTTATGCCATTTTTATGCGACAATGACGCATTTTGGAGATTTCATTACATTATCGCATATAAAATATCAAATAAATTTACAGTAGAGAAAATCAATGCTTCTATTGCAGAATCTTCTTCCTTTTTGACTTATATTTTTTATAATATAATATATATAATATAATATATATAATATAAAAATTTTATTTTATTTCAGACTTGGTACATTTCACTACGAGCTCAAGAGGTCGCGTTGTGACTCTGGACAGGAGATCAGGCAAAATTCTTTGGGAATTAGACCTTGAGAGTCCGGTGATAGCGATGTACACTGTAACGAAAGACGGACTGCTGACAATTCCTTTCAAGCGTATCGCTGATTCATCGCTGGAAATGTCTATTACAAAACCGACCGACGTTTCATTATTGTAAGTCAGTGAAGAAAAGTAACCTAAAAGAGTTAAATGAAGATTAAAACTTTATATTAAAGTAAAGATTTATAAGTAAAGTGAGTTCTTGTTTTTTTTTTTCAGGCCAACTTTGTACATTGGAGAGCATCGAAATGGCCCTTATGCTTTACCATCGTTGGTCGCCACGATACCGAACAACACTGGACATTTATTGCTGGAAGGGCCATTATTGACGTCGCATTTTCATGCGAATGATAACAGTGTGCCGGAAGATTATATTTTTATTTCCAACATTGACGATGACGGTTATCAAGACGTCAAACGCACAAAAGATGGCATTATTTTAGGTAATGTGCAAGCCGCAGCTACATGTCAACTAAATAATAACAAACAAAAGTGTTGTATATTTCCAATTTTCTCAGGCCACTACAAAGTTCCTGTGGAATATAAACTGCAGAATCAACTCCTTCAAATAACTGGATTATCCAATCCAATAATCTTGGACACTTCGAATAGCACTGAGACGAAGTTAACTGTCGCTGTACAGACAGACGTGTCAAACGATACTGCGCAGTCGGAAAGTAACCAGAGCTGGCAGAGAATTATATCGAAGACCTACAACGAGAGTATGATGTGGATAATTAATCAGGAGAACAAGAATGTCAAGTTGATCATTGCGGCTTCAATGATTATTATGGTTTTGTACGTGTTTGTCCGAAGAGCAAGACACTTGAGGTACAAACAGCAACACCGACAACTGTCATTGATAACGCTCAAGGTAAAACTCTTTATGGCCACATTACACAAATATGTCAATATTAAAGTATAATTGTTTGCCAACTTCGCTCATTTTGCACTCTCTAGAAAATTGATATTTCTCCTTTGATAATGTGTGATTGAACAATCTTCAATTGTAATATAATCAGATTAATTAAATCTTGATTGTTAAATTGATTGTTAAGGGTTCGCGCGAAAGCAGTCGCACGAGTAATTCTGATAAAGCAGGCTACCCGGTTGTTATGCCGGAAGACATCGGAGAGGGCTTGGTGAAAGTCGGGAAAATTATATTTGACACAGGACAAGTCCTTGGCAAAGGATGCGATGGAACTTTTGTATATAGGTGTGTGTGTTTCTAATATATTTAATATCTACAGACTGCGGCGTTTATCTTGATTTTCTTAAACATTTGTATTATATGGTTTATACGAAAAAAGATCTCTATTTCCTTGTTTCTTCTTTCAGAGGTGAATTTGATGATCGTGCTGTGGCTGTGAAACGTTTGTTGCCGGATTGTTTTACGTTCGCAGATCGTGAGGTGGCTCTGTTGCGGGAATCAGACGCCCATGAAAACGTAGTTAGATATTTTTGTACCGAACAGGATCGTATGTTCAGGTACATCGCCCTGGAGCTGGCCGAAGCCACCTTGCAAGATTACGTGGCCGGTACATATGACAGGGAGAAGATATCTATGAAAAATATTTTGCATCAAGCCACATCCGGCTTGGCACATTTACATATCTTGGATATTGGTGAGTTTTAAAGTAGTTTTAGAACGATAAACATTTTATTTTCAATTCTTTTTACTCAAGAATGATTAATTGTTAGATATTTTTGTCAGAACAAAATCGATTTTAAATTAGCCAACAAATTCATAGATAAAAAATGATATATCTAAAATATTTTTGTAGCAAATTTTTCTATAATAGAATAAATCGTTTTTTCACGATAAATTATACTTTAAAATCGACAACCATGAAATATTACAAAGGAGCAATATAATTCTTTCATGATTCGTTGCTTTATTTTAAGAAAATTGAAGAATTGAATTAATTCATGAAAATTTATAATCTTTGTACAGTACATAGGGACATTAAGCCTCACAATGTTCTGCTCTCTGTGCCTGGACCTCGGGGAGAAGTACGTGCAATGATATCAGACTTTGGATTGTGCAAGAAGCTTCAACTTGGTCGCGTGTCGTTTTCGCGAAGGTCTGGCGTTACCGGAACTGACGGTTGGATAGCGCCGGAGATGCTAAACGGAGAGAGGACGACATGCGCGGTCGACATTTTTTCTCTCGGCTGCGTCTTCTATTACGTTCTCTCCGGCGGCAAGCATCCCTTTGGCGATCCGTTACGACGACAAGCCAATATTCTCTGTAAGCAGTCAATATTTTCTGAGTGAAATTTCAAACTAAAGATTCATATAAAGTTTGTTATAGATTTACTCACCCCTTCTAGACAAAAGATATTAAAAATAATGTTTACTTGCTAAATCTAATTTATAGGTGGCGAAAGCGATCTGACAGGACTTCAGGGAATATTCTCGAGCGACAAAGAACTAGCGTTACTGGTCATCAAAGCGATGATATGTAACGACCCTGCTGAAAGACCGCCAGCTTTGGCGATCTGTAACTATCCTATCTTCTGGAATTCAGCAAAGATTCTGGGTTTCTTCCAGGTACGTAAGATGTTTTAGTATTCTTTTAAATACAGATTTATCGTTTCATTTGCATTATCGAAGAGCAAATAAATTTATGAAAGTAGTCAAAATCGGCGCGCAAGAGTTTTAATAAATATTCAATTCAATATTCAAAATTAATTATAGCCAAATTTATTATATGTTAAATACATATTGAGAAAATATTATATAGTCTCTATAATATTTTTGACACAGTTAAATAACTTTATTGTTATAGATGCTTTTAAATTTTCTTTGTCTTCTTATCATATACTTATTATCGTCGTTTTTTGAACACAGATTAGGTTCCATATCAAAGTTCACCGGAGAGGCAGCTCCGGTTTCCTTCCTTTTCGTTATTTCTTTAACTATTCTTTGATAACACGTTATTTTTTTTTCATCTTATTATTTTAGGGTGCTTCTGAGATTGTGGTTTGGAGAATCATTTGATTCTTTATTTTTGTGTGATCTTTCATTACATCATTTCTTATTGTTATTAACAATCGATGTTCGCTCTTGATAGTCGAGTACCTAGTTGTCTTCCACGATGATAGAAGAAAATTTTGCTTTAGTAGTAATAATATTGACGTTTTAATTTCCATCATTTTTTGATGATTCAAACGATTTATCTTCAGATACTTGCTCTCCTTGATTTTTTAGTTTAACGATCATAACCCCACCTTTCTGCCTCTCGTAAGTTATTGTGATGTTACTAATAGCTGCTAGTAGTTGTGATGGATTGTTTTTGATACACAAAAGAGCTATAATAAAATAAAGTTATAATTAAGTGCCTAATTTTTGTATATTTATTTTTATTATATATGTGTATGTTGTGTTAACATTGTCTCAGTGCACTTCAAGAACCTACCTTCTTTGTAGTAATTTATCAACTCAACAAGGTATACATAGTTTTGGTGCGCTTTATCCCGTAAAGAAAAAATAGCATTCGCAAAGATTTCAATGGCTACAGTGTATAACCTATACTGGATATCTACGGCTGTTTCATCTACTTCTTGTCTAAGTTGTCTAATTGATTGGGACAATATATCTCCATAGTTGAAAGGCACAAAACCTACGTTATTATATATGTATTAATTTTTATTTCCTTAGAAATATATAGCTTACATAAAAAATATTTAGAAAATTCTTATTGCATTTCTTTCGCTACAGAATTAATTAAAAAATTTATAAAGAAATTTGTAAAGTACACGATCTTCTAAAATATTCTGTAGAAAATTGTTATTTGGTTTATTTTTCTTCTATATTATCATACAAAAACTAACGAGAATAGCAACAAAAGGAAAATAATGTACACACTTATAAAATATCTTACATGTCACTTCTGCATATTGTCCAACGGCGATTAACAAGAAAAATAGAATAAATTTCATGACTTCGTTCGATGGAGTTTCCCGAGCACAACAACGAGTAATAGCACTTAAGCAAGTCAAATCTCAAACTTGCTTCTCAGCGAGAAGCAACCGACTTATATAAGATCAGGAAGAGACCATTTAGAGTGTATGGGGACACCATTAGGTTGATCCATTAAGAGATATCATGAGAGTACTATTTTTAAATGGTTTAAATCATCTAATCCATTCGTTACTGATTCTATGATACAAGTATCATAAAGATACGGAAGAAGCAATACCTCTATCAAACGCTAGAAGTGGAGAAGAAAAGATACTATTGAAGATAGACTGATTTGGGCCTAAAAAATGTATCATAAGTGTAATCTTATCTTTTTTTTAATTATTATGAGCAATGGCATTCAGACGAGTGTTTATTCTTTGGAATCACTCTACTAGTACTTTACAACAATCTTGTGCATAGTTCTGTAAATAGTCGAAGCGATACATAATCATAAGCGTACTATGTTGTTCTATATTCTTCATAAAATTTCTTAACAGTAATTTGTTGTTACATTTGTTTTATCCGATAGCATTAAAAGCATTAAGAAAAATTCAATATCGATCATTTTATATGAATCACTCCGTATATTTTCAAAGTTTATAAATAATTCGGTCACTTTGTGTAAGTCGCTCGGTAAGACTTTTGAAGAATTAGGAAAAAAGACGAAAATGTTGAAAAACTGTAAGATACTTTTGAGCGACGGTGTAACTTCGTCATTATTGTAACTTGTGTAATAAATAACTTATTGAATTTAACTTGACGATAAATAAACTCAAGTTATTTAATGTTGCAGGACATTAGCGATCGAGTGGAAAAGGATCAAGCCGACAGCCCGGCCTTGGCAGCCCTGGAAGCTTGCGGTGATCGTGTGATACAAGATGATTGGAGGCTGCACATAGATACAGAAGTTGCGGCAGATCTGCGGAAGTACAGGAGCTACCGGGGTGAGAGTGTAAGAGACCTGCTCAGGGCTTTGCGAAACAAGGTCGGTGAGATGTTCCTTTTTCATTTCCAATTTTATTCCCAATTAATACCATTTGTATGACGAGTTGATTTTATAATCATTGACGTGTTTTTAGAAACATCACTATAGAGAACTGAGCCGGGAAGCACAAAAGATCCTCGGCGACATTCCCGACAAGTTTGCGGACTACTGGTTATTGAGATTCCCGCGCTTATTGCGCCACGTGTGGTGCGCGATGCAGAGTTTCCGCGACGAGTCGAATCTCAAGCAGTACTATCACTCGCACTATGCCTTTCCGAGCGACTGCGAGGGGCAACAGGCGAACGTGCGGACGGACGGAGTCAACAATACACTTAATGCGCTATCGACGTCGGCTATACTGGACTGCGACGTTGAAAAGGGATGGATGGAAACTGTGAATTGGAGTCCCGCTCGAAGAAGAACCCGTAATCACAGAAAGAAGCAAGAGAGAAAAAAGCAGGAAGACCTCACGCCGTGGATCTTGTCTGAATTGAAATTGTAAGACAATCGCGAACTAACAAAAAATTGAAAAATAGTGTATACACTGGTGTGTAAACCAAATTGAAAATTTGGTCTGATCGGAGTCACGTTTCGATAAAATCCGTTGTTGTTGGACCAACGAGAAGATTCTATTAGGGCATTAACGTAACGATTTTTATTAATAATATCGTACTTAATATATGATGTTTTTGATATCGGTTTTCATTCCCGATAGTGTAATGTTAATTTATCGTGGATGTTTCTCGCGGACAAATATTTAAAATGAAGATGATAAAACTTTTAATATTTTAATATCTTTATTTTAAATCGTACTCGTAATATACAACATACAAAGATAGAAATGTAGCTGATGTTGGGTTACGATATTAAAAGTGAGAAGTAAATAAGCTAAATAAATGTGTGATTTATACTTGCATGTCGAGATTAATCAATTTTTTCGATAATAAGTAAAGTATATATATATAAATTAAGAGATCATCTCAAATATTTTTTTTTTAGTCATTGATAATAAACGATTCTACAAATCTTAATCAATTACCATAAAATCTATTTCCGGTGACGATGTAAAATATATTAAAAATCTACAATATTACAGATTTTATTTAACAAATAGATATTTATAAAAGTTTAAAACTTTTAAGATATTTAAATATAATAACTGTACAAAAATATATGATAAGTATGTAGTAACATAAGTATGTGTGTGTGTGTGTGTGTGTGTGTGTGTGAATGAGTATGATTACGACATTGCATGTTCTATTTTCGTCGTGTTGCCAAAAATGAGAAAAAACAAACTTCAATTATTTAATGTTTAATTATCCAGTAAGCGAAAAAAGAAACTGCGCCTAAGCCATTTTCTACTGCATTAAAATGTAATTAGCACATTTAAGTAATTTATATTGTAAAATACAGAAAACACAGAAAATCTATACTTGTTTGGAAAACAAAAAATCACTTATTTAAGCGAAAAATAGGCGAAAACGATTGAAAATTTTGAATTTATGCAAAATTTGTTTCCACACTTTCTGACATTAATGTGCAGAAAGTGCAATAATTAAACAATATTAAAGAATATTTGAAAGAAATTTAAGATGTTTGTATTTAAACGAGTCAATTTTTTAACAATTTCTATTTTTTTCTCCCAAGGATTTAATAATATTTGAATAAAATATCTTCTAAGGGTTGGGAGCGTCTGCTAAGGCTCATGCTATTACGCATGCGCGAATTTTTCCCTCCATCTGGGATCACTGACTTCTGCTCCTACTGAATCCTTTCAAGCAAATTGCCAGTCATTCCTAGGTGGGTGTTTCTTCATCGTAGCATTTCGGTTAGTTTCGTGTAGATAGCGATTGGTGTGGCGAGTTTTAATGTAAATAAGTATATATCTAATTAAAACAATGGGAGCAGTACGAATTATTGATGATGATCGTCACTTTAATGACGAACTGGCTAATGCCGGGCCGAAGCTCGTCGTTGTGGATTTCACAGCAAGTTGGTGAGTGCATTTGAGGTTATATTCGTTATTGAATTTTCTACATTTTAATTCGAATTCAAATTTTATTGGTATCCTTTTGGGGTCGAATTTTAACGTAATTTGTATTGATTTATCACTTTTTTCGGTTTATAGACTTGATCCGACTTGACGTTAATGAAAAACGAGTCTTCAGAAATAAAGTGCAAACTGTCAAAAGTAATTTCTGAAGTAATCCCTGGGTACATAACAGATCTGTTTATCTTTCACTTACACTTTTTTTTTGTATTTTGCGCACTTGAGATGAAATAGTATATATTTTTTGAACAAAAAGTAAATGTGTAATATGAGGATTGTGTCACTAATATTTTGTGAAACTCGCATGACTAATCAACTAATTGGCTAATCAAACTTTGAGGAACAAAATTATGATCTTGTTTTCTCAACGCATTGTAGGAATGAAATGACTAAGCAAATACAAAAATCAGAAATTATTAATTTCTACAATCGTACAGCACTGAAGGATATCTTTGACGAAAAGTGCATTGTGTATTCCATTAATCAACTAATTTTTTCCCTTCAATTTTCAGTTATTTTTTTACTTATGTTCTCCACTCTCGTATTTGCTATACAACTTAATTAATAATTTTGCTGGAAATAAGAATGAAAGACAGAGGATATTATGTATAGATCTTATGTCAATTTATATTGTTGCGTCCTTGTATTCCTGTCGCAATGCTACGCCACTCGTTGCGATAAAAAGAAGATTGTCACGACGCGAGAGTTTTTTTGACAACTACAACAGGCAGATCAGGTTTAGAGAAACTATCAAGCTGTCATGCGATCATACATTTGACAATACCACTCTATTTTCTGTTACGAGTGCATTGCTTGTGTTTCTTACGTTTTTGTCGGCTTCTATTTTGAAGTTCTTGTTTCTTTTAAACGAGTTTTTTTATTTATTACGTACTCCACGAGAACCAGTTATGTCGCGCGCATTCGAGATTGTTCGAAAACGATCTGCGGACGCAACAATATTAAATAATATCCATTGTTTTTCATCCAGTTTCTCTTCTAACATAACCAAATATGTGGTTCTATCGTAAACAATCTATAAAGTGTGAATACTAATATTGTGAACAGTTGCAGACCTAAGAAAAATTCTGCTATATTTAATCCACACTTTACTCGAGCAAGATAATTCTCCCAATAAGACTCCCCAATTTCTTCACGTATCACATTATTGATTGTACATGTAATCTACGAGCACCTTCTCTACTTGCAAACATTATTAACAAACATCGATATTTTGCACAGGTGTGGACCCTGTCAGAGAATTGCACCGGTGTTTGAACAGCTGTCGCTGAAGTATCCCAGGGCGGTATTTCTGAAAGTAGACGTAGACAAATGCGGGGACACCGCCTCGGTGCAGAATGTCCGCGCGATGCCCACTTTTATCTTCTATCGCAGACGCACGAGGCTGGGTCTGTGCCAGGGTGCGGATCCCGCGGGACTGGAATCGAAGATTCAACAATTTTATGACACCGGCGACTCCCAAGGCGAAACGGACGACTCGACCACAGATCCCGTGTCCGGTCATGTACGAAATACGGATAATGTTTATTATCATATCTTCGGAATGATCTTTCTCGTCGTGATTCTGTACTGCTGGAATAAGTATCAATGAAGAGCTTACTATTAATTGCCATTTAACGTTAACTAATTACAGATTGAGATATTGAAATTTTTACAAAAACCATTTTAACTACGCGAACTCGGTTTAAACCTCGTTAATTAACTCAAGTTAATTATTCCATTACAAAAATATATTATATATTTCTCTCAATAAAAGAAAAGAAAGAAACATACTTTTAGTATCTATTTGTACTTTTATCGTTTTATTTGTTGAAACCCTTTAGTTTTCAATTTAATTAAATCGATTTTATTAAGTTATTTGGTCAAAATATTAAAAAAAACGGAGCTTGCCAATATTAACAGTTTCTTGTATTTTTTTGTCAAATTTGTCAATTTTTGTCAATTTAAAAGGAAGATGGAACTATTTTAATAATGCTCTGATAATGTAAACGATTTTTAAAAAACTCTAATGTTAAAAAAATTAAATTTAGATTGTTCACAAAAAGTGAAACGATTACGTGCTTTTAAGCTCTTCGACTATACAAGTTGCAAATATCAAAGTATCAAAATATCATACATTTATGCTGATGAGATTTTCGATATATTTTTAGCACTCATAAGTGTACAATATTCATATGCGAATGTTATTGTTCCTGTCAGTTTTATGTTGCTTAAGTGAGAAATCAGATTTCAGAAAGTACAGATGATGTCGTTGAAGCCTGTTGGTGAAAATATATACATTTCTTGTCGTTAATATATTAATCAGATTCGATAAAGTTGCTTCAGTTGTTCTTGGAATGTACTCTCTGTTATATCTTGTACACAACTGAATAATTCGCTGTCAACTAATAATTCTTTCACTTAATTATAACACATTAAACATTATCAATATATCTATGATATTGTAATCGAAATAAGATAACTTTGATACTTGCACACTTGTTCGTAATTTATTAACCTTCATCTAAGTAATCCCATCCAGTAATGAGATGTACAGATGTGATTTAACAGTAATTTCATCTGTACTGGTGTTGTAATTTTGTGACATGAAACCAATTTTAGGAATTTTGAAGTTTTATTAAAATTAGTGATGCAATTTCAGGAAAATTATTAAAAATTTCTACAATTTAGAGGATGAGAGAGGCGGAGAAAACACTTTGCTTGCGATTTTTTATATAATGTATAAAATTCTTGCGTAATCCAATATTCATAAAAATAAAGCAAAATAAGCAAAAATAAAATCAGGAATTTTTAATTAGTGTCAAAAAAAGATTTTGAAACAGATATATATTTTCCTCCTCTCTCTTTTATGACTGTTAATACAATTTCTGCTTTGTTTCCCCTTTTTTTTTAATTCTCTCAATTGTCTTATTTTCATTGTCACAAATAAAGATGCAGAGATCGTTTTCGCGCATTTCAAAATCTAATTTCAGCAAAATTACACCCGTTTTGTCTCGTTGATGTCTTGCTTAAGAGACTATTATCTTGCAGATGGACCTGTCCAGTTTCATAATGAAACAGCAGTGCGAGTGTTTGAACGAGTCTGACCACCACACGTTCCCCCAGTGTTTGAACGCGGACGGCGGATACCTTCAAAGCGACGAGGACGAGCAGCTGATAATGTCTCTCACGTTCTCGCAGCCCGTTAAGGTTCATTCGCTCAAGATCAAGGCGCCGGCGGAGACTGGACCGAAAAATCTCAAACTGTTTATCAATCAGCCCAGAACAATTGACTTCGAGATGGCGAATTCCAATACGAGCGTTCAAAATCTAACGTAAGAATGCACATTAATCTATTCAAGATACGATGTATCTCTCATAAAGGAATAAAGAGACGTTCCTTGATTTCTCGAGAACCACCGGATTATAGATGTAGATTCTTTGACTCGTTTAAAATATTCCTAATTCGGTGACGTTTGACGCGATTGCTGAAGTATAATTGTGCAACTTGTCGCGCAGGGTGTCAGCCAAAGATCTCGAGGAGGAGAATCCGATCCCGCTGCGCTACGTTAAGTTCCAGAATGTGCAGAATCTCCAAATCTTTGTGTTGGATAATCAGAGCGGCGCGGAAACGACGAGAATTGATCATCTAGTCGTGATCGGTTCACCAATTTCGACCACCAACATGGGGGAATTCAAGAGAGTGTCCGGAAAGAAAGGAGAGAGTCACTAAGCGACCTTCCTACATGAAATTATCAGAGATTTCGATTTGCATATTAATATTCTTCCTCTCCCCACTTTTTTCTTATCTTTTTGTAAAATTCAATGTAATAAGATTTGAGGTAATAAAATCTGAATTTGAATAGCTTGCAAATCTTGCTCATATTTATTATCAATTTGCGAAATTTAGTCTAAGTAATTCTAAGTAATGTAGTAAGTAATAATATTTCTTATTAACTTATAAAATTGATCTTAAATAAATTAGTGGTGTTAACTTATAAAAATATTTTCAATGTATGTGTGTTTACGCGCAAAGGCCGAGTTCGGCTATCTCACTTTTACATAGTTATTGCATTCTCCTTTTTAATTCGACTCACAAATTTTGTTTACCGATAATGTTAGAGTATCATCATTAGATCAATCATTACAAAGAATTACAGAATCTTTGACATCGCACTAAGTACAACCAGACGAACGAGTTGCCTCTCTCAATTGCAAACGATAAAATACAGTTTTGTTCTACGGATGGATTGTTCAATGCAGTTCTCTATACCAATTTCAATTATTGCGACACCGATTTTTGGAAAATACGTTTTTATATGTGCATTATTTAAGAAAATAATTTAAAAGATATAAATGATTGTTTCTGATTTCATCTTTAAAACGTAAAAAATGCGTGTCTCTCTTTTAAGATATTGTTACATTATTAAAAAAATTTAGTAAAAAATAAAAATAATAAATAAAGTTTTACACAAACATGTTGCTCTGTTCGATAATTAATGTTAAAAATCACTAGGACTCACTACATCGACTTGTAAAAATCGCTATAAAATCCGGATAAAATTACTTACCAAAACAAACTCAGCGATCGATTCCCGAATAGTGGCCACATTATATCACATTGTTAATTTCTCTCTCTACTTATTAGATATTGAACGGCGCATAGTCTGGATATTTTTCGATCAGACCTCACAAGATATACCTGACAGAAAACGCTATCACGTCTCTTGATTGTTGACAGCTTAAAAATTAATAAGGTCCGCATATAGTCCTATCTTACATAGTGCTCAAGTTTTATCTATTTAAGCAGTATTTATAATACTGTTTAAATAGATAAAACTTAAGCAATATTTTATTTATACAAATAAATATATAAATATATAAATTTAATATATAAATTTAATATATTAAATTTAATATATAAATTTAATATAAATAATTACATAAATATTTATATTAATATTTTATTTATATAAATAAAATACTGCTTAAATATACCAAAAGGGAGACTTAAGCATTGATTTACTTATAAGACTGAACTGTGAATTCAGCAAACTTTGTGAATTCGCCAAATACCGCCGCACCGGCAAGCTCGTGTCCACCTTTGATCCCAGGCCCTAATCGCAGCCGTCCTCGTTATGTTTTGTACCTGCGCCTTACCGCCGCATCTGAAAGTTCGACAAAGAAGATAAAAAAAATTGTTATATTAAGGATAAGAAAAATGTTCAATACATGAAGATATTAAGAATTGAGAAGTTTGATTCGTCGAATCAATAATACCTCGTGCATTGCTTTACTAGAAGCGGTTGTTTCCCTAAATACAAGTGTCGTATCGTGTCCACAACCTGTCCGCTGTGTATGCAACCTTCAACAGGATTTATTTCGGGCGTAAACATCAACTGTTCGGGCTCTACTCCGTACTCCAGCTGCAATCATAAATTATAACGGATGATAATACTAGAATATAATAATGTTAGAATAAGTATAGAAAAAATATATATATATAGAGAATTTTCCGAAAAAAAATCTAAATAATATATATATATATATATATATATCTTCTTTCTTTCCGTGAAATAGTTAAAATCTCTGTACTTTACCTGTAACGGAAGGTTTTGATAAAACAAGATCGGCGAGACTACGGCGATTATGCTGTTGCTTTGATATAGTTGTGGAATCATGACTTGGTTTGGTAACAAACAGCATCCATCTGAAAAAGAGTTAATTATGTTAGTATAAAAATATCATTTTTAAAGTTTTTTAGAATTAAACATTGCAAATATCGATTTAAAATCAATTAAAGAATACGTAGGGGAGAAAATACATATTAAAGGCTCAAAAAGCACGCTCCTTTATCGATAGTATCTTTTATTTATATATAATTTTTGCTTCAACATATTCTTAATCTCTTATTTTCACATTTATATTCTCTTCAATTAATTATTATGATTGTCTTTGGTAATTTATTTCGCAACTCAACGAGCTTGCGAAGGCGAGGTCTCTTGCGAATTCTCCTCATTGGATTTCAATGTTAGCACCGGTTTCTCCGCGCTTAATTCTGTCTGTTCGCGCACGCTCGAGTTGATTTGAAGAACAACTTCCGTTTTTTCATCGGCCAAGCTCTCCACGTTCGTTATGACGTAAGCTGACTGGCGTTCCGATTTTAATTCACTCGTCTTCCCGTCGTTTTCATCCTTCGCGTCCTTCGCGTTCTCCTCCGCATCCTTCACGTCCGTCGCGTCTTGCGCATCCTCCTTTACGTCTTTCGCATCCTTCGCATCGTCCTCAGTCATTTCGCTCGGGAAAAAGTGCGTCGTCTGCTGAAGACACAGCTGAGACTGTGCGCTCTCAGTTTTCTCCGCTTCGCGAATCAGATCGATAAAGAACAACTCTCTCGGCGACATGGGCGTCTTGACCTCGTCCACCGAGGACGATACTATTACCGGCTTCGCATTATCCTGGAAGGGATGATCCTTGCAATCATCGTCCGATCCTTGCGCCGTCTCGTCCTCTTCAACCCGCTCGACTCCACTGTCCTCGTTCTCGCCGGATACTCTCTTGTGTATCGTCAAAGGTGGCAGGTTTCGGCCGTTCTCTTTAGATTCTTCATCGCGCGCTTTGTTCATCTTCTTCATCTCGACAAACTCTTCGTTTTCGGACGATATCTGACGAGCGTAGGAATACGATTCTTCTTTGTGATCCGAGCCGTACTGCAACAACGTCGCCTCACGAATCCGCTCGGCCTCCGCGCGCTTCCAGAGAACGATTGTGCCGATTGTGATCGCGATCCAGACTGCGAGTACGACTGTCCAGAAGGGCCAATAAAACCAAGACCAGTGCTGCAGCAAGTGGCATATGAGCCAAATCATGGGGATGAGAACAAACCAGTAGAGCACAAACACGATCGAGGTCAACCACGGGAACGACAGGTCCTTCCACGTTGTCTTCTTTTTGAAATCGTATTTGCGAACCTGGCGTTTCTCACCCTGCTTGTCCTCTTTCAAGGCGAGAGAATCCTTGTGCTTGAGAGCGAGCTCGGTAGTCATCGCGTCTTTCTTCGAATATCTCGCTTCTTTCTGCGTTGCACTTTTCTCTTACAATTCTTATTAATGTGTTATTGCTGTGAAAGAATTTCTGATTTATGTCACACTTGTTTGTCTTCACAGTGTTATAATTATTATTCGCAATCGTTGCAGTCACGTTGCGAGCCGATTAATATACTGCTGATAGACTGTGTCTATCTATGCGTAATTATTATAACGGGTTCAGGATGTGGTTGCTACTTATCGAACTTCCTAACCGCAAGTGATAATAATCAAGCATCGAAAAAACACAGTATGAACTCAACGCTATTTCTAGATCGCAATTATAAGATTAATCGAATTTTCTGAAGAATTCTGAATATTTGAAAAATATATAAGAAAAAAAATATACAAATTGCTAAGAAAATTTCAGAGAAACGGTAGTTTGAAAAAACGCTTCAAAATTCAGTCCGCCAAGACTTAAATCTTCTCTCAAAACCAGCCTTTGTGGAAAAGCACTAAAAACGCCTCGTGTTACAGTAAAAAAAAAAAATCGTTCAGCGATAGATTAAGAAATTCCAAATTTACAAACGTACCGATTAAACTATCGTCCATTAGTTGTTGCTGCTGCGTATCGCTGTTAGGTTGCAGCAATTTCGACAGCAAGCGATACAGCAAGGCCAGAACGTCCAGATTGTCCACGCACCGAGTAAATACTGGCAGACACGATGGACGAAGCAAGCCCCAGGTACGGATGATAACCAGCAGTTCGCGAATGATATTCAAAGCCTTGCGATCCTTGAGAAGTTCGTACTGTAAAGCACAGTAATTTGTATTAATAATAGATTTGTAGTAATAATAGATAATACATTTGTAGTAATAATAGATAATAGATTTTTAATTCCCACAAAAATATATTTACCTAAATCACAAAAAATATTCTAATCCATTTGGACACCTTATTTTATATCTACAATTCCTCTATGTATGTTTGCACAAGATATTTTTAAAATAGAGGGGGAAATTTTTGGAAGACCATTCCTTACTTCAAGACATAAAAGTCTCGAAATAAGCAAATCTCTTCCTAATGATTTAAAGCACTCTCTAATTGCGGAAACACTCTGCATAACATTTTTACATTTTACTCTCGGCTCATAAAGAAATATGGCATTGTTACCAATAAAATAGATATAGAAATTTTTGCACTTTTTTAGAGACATCAAGTTGGATTTTTCTTCTTGTCTCCTGTTCGTATCGAGCTGCCAAAAATTTTGTAATTTTCCAGATTAACACAGCTGAAAGTATTTAGCTAAAAATACGTACGCCACCAGTTTTCATCTGCATTCTTTGCTCGGGTAATCTGGCCAGTAAATTCAAGGCCAAGTCAGCGACCCACTGAATGAGCGGTTGCAGTGATTGCAGCGTGCTCGGTTCTACGGTGAATTCTTTCGCATCAAGATGAAATAATACCTAAAAAAAAATAGTTTACAAATCAGTGCAAAGTATAGTTCATAAACCAACAAATTTTGTTTCATCATTAAAGTTATTGGGTTGAGCAGAAAATTTCTTCGGATTTTTCGATAAATATATATAAAGTTATACGCAAGAAATATTTTCTACTGCATTACCGTATCGATGGTATCAACATCCTGATCAGTAACAACATCTGTTATCGCCATGGTTAAACTCTCCGCAGGACCTTTGTCATGAGATATCAAGTCTGATGGCCTCAACAAGGATTTGAAAGCTGTAGCTACCGAATGTATCATCAGTAACGACGACAAATCTGTTGCCTTATTCTGTCCAGACACAAGCATTCTGAAAATATTAATTGCAAGTATATTGATTTTTCTTGTATAATTATAATTTGACTTTATTTTCTAATTTGTAACAATCTTACCTATACAATGACGTCTTAATGCACAGAAATTGAATATAATGATACTGCTGCGTAGGTTGTGATTGTCTGTTAAAGGAGACGTCTAATCGTTCGCATAGCGCCTCGATCATGGATGATCTCAAACATAAAAGTATATCCAACCAATCCAGTCCTGTCACCAGGCAATACTCCAGTAACGTGCAAGCGTAGCTCAACGACATTGATGTACCTGTGGAATCACATAAATTGTTTTGAATAACATGCAATACTGAATTTTGATCACATCCATGTAATGTAAAACATAATTTTCTCGTCGATTTAAGTCACTGAACTCTATAACATACTGAAGCGAGCCTTCAAGAAGTGAGAGTGTCTCTTCGATCGAAAAGGACAAATAGATGACAGTTATTTGCTGACTGGTTGGCGTAAGAAAGAGATAGAGTCTCACATTCTATATGTGTCCTCTTCCAAATCGCGGACACTCTCTGTTTTCGAGATACGGCAGGCTCGCTCCAGTACGTTATAAAGCTCAGTGATTTAAGTGGCCTAGAAGATAGAAGTCTTCAAAGAGATAAATACCATTAGATAACACACCTGTGGTACCGTCTGGCAGCAATTTGTAGAGATACAGATTGCCGTGAGTATCACACGCGAGAAGCACACATCCCAACCAAGAAAGATCCATGTGGGCGATAGACACTGAGTTCTTAAAATATTTATTGCTCGGTTCATCTTGACGCCAGCCCATAGTCAAGGATGAAAGCGCCACCTCCTTCAGACAGTCCAGACGATTTAAACAGTGCACTGATGAATCCGCCAATGCTATGATTACGTAACTCGGAGGCGGTAACGTTGTCACGATAGAGAGTTTAGTGGTCGCTATCGCCGTGACTGGTGACTGGCAGCGATATTGTGACTGATATTGCCAGATCTGTGTGGCAATTATAAAGCAACAATAAGAAATATCACATTCGTGAAGCTAAATGCTAATTGTGTTTAGATATTTACTACTGTCTTGAAAGGTTCCAGGTTCTTTGGCTGAAATAGTTTGTGGACCGGTTGTGACTTTTCACGCAACTCCCACACTTCCACAAATCCGCCGTTCTCGCTATTCGCCGCGATAACCAAAGAATCTGCATCTTCTCTAACGACAAATTTCAAATGCGTCACAGTTGCTGCAAAAAAATAAAGAGTTCCAGCCATAAAATAATAAGGTATCCACGCAGGACGTTCCAAACTAATGAAATTAAATAAAGTAATTAATCGTACTTGAATTGTCCTTGGGCGTTCCATCCTGCAGAAAGAAGCTTGGCAGAGCCTGCGAAGTGATGGTGCATTTGTCATCAATTTTGCGCACTAATATTCTATAACACCTTATTGGCAAGCAGATGCTACCGCTGCTAACTGCGACGAGAAAGTGGCCATCTAAAATTTGTAAAATAAGTTTTTGCAATACACTCATATAGGATTTGCCAATAACTGCATACGTATATACGTGTGAGACAGTACTTTTTCCATAACATAGATCGACCGCGGTTATCCTGTGCCTTGTGTTACCAAGACTTTCCGTCGAGTAGCAAATCGGATTTTGAAGGTCTTTCGTGATCATAACCACACCGACCATACCAGTTGTCGAGACCACCAATACACCTTCAGCAGCTCTGCCTCCAAACTGTCTCACCGAGGGTGCAAACACCAAGTGATTGAATTTCTCGCTATAATGGATGCTGTCCTTTTTTTCTGTCACTAGTCCTGTCTAGAATTAGCAAAGTGAGACTGTCATGACAAAGAATGACTTAAATCTTACACACATAACTTTATTACACATTAACACAGCTTAAACTTCTGTTTTTGTTTAAGAAATACAGTATAATGTAAAAAGACATCGAGATATTAATTTTCTTTAATATTATGTAATCGATTAATTTTTAGAAAAAATTTTTTGTTGCTTGTAGCATATCAATTTGTTCATTTAAATACCTTCTTGCCATTGTGGAACCAAGCTGCACCTAATATATGTTCACCAGGAAAATGTGTAGAACCTATCAATACCCAATCATTTAACACATGATCCTTGAACATCCACAATTGTACATTTCCAGCTGTATCTGCTACTACTAACTTGTCACCAGGCAGATCCCATTCTAAGGCAGTAATGTTGTGTTTACTTGAAAGTACTCTAAAACCACAAAGAGTTCACAGTTTAATCTTTATCTTTTGTTCTTAGATTTCTCTCCCTCTTTCTAATTAAAAAATTTAATAAAAAAAACTTAAGAGATAGATTTTCTATTCTGCATCTAATTGATAGAATATATATTAAACAATTTAAATAAATTTTTACTTATGTGTGTGCCATGGCATATTTAAGTCCATTACGTAAACATGACAACCTCGTGTCTTGCCATTATTATCATCTAATTCTGTCATCGTAGTAAATGCTGCTATATTCCGACTGGATAAGGAACATAAGGACTGTCCATGGTATAAGCTAAAAAAATTAATTGTTTATCAATGCTCAAGTATCGTTAAATTAAAAACTAAAATAACACTGTGCATGATTTTTATCAATATAACAAATTTTCTAATCACAAAACTCTTTCAGGATGCAAAACTCAAAAAATTTATGCATGGAAAGTTTGATCAATAGTATTCTAAGATTTCAAAAATTTTTAAATGTGTACATGAACGTTTATATCTTTCTGCAAAGTAAACTTATAAGTATAATGTTATTTCTTTTTTCAAAGCTCCACCTATTTTTGGCAGAAAACTCTTGCATCTTGAAAGGATTAAATAAATGCATATAGATAATATTTATATAGATAACATTTGAAATCTGCAATAATTAAATACTGCATATTTACTAAATAAATCAATATAATATATACATATTTACTAAATAAATCAATATAATATATAAACTATATTCATATATCTATATATTGTATATGCACATACACATGTGTATATAATATTAGAAATGATTATATTTGATAAGCATTTAAAAACTCATTATACATTTTAATAAAAACATCTTAAAATTGAATATATACGCACAATATGCATACATTTCACTTGCGTACCTAGTATTCTAAAATTAGTAAATGTTGCAAAAAATGTATAAAATATATATTTTTCAAGAAACGTACCATTCTTGATTGGAGGAAACTCTTGAAGAGTTCTTTCTACTAATAGTATAAAGAAAATCCATTTTTACATTCAACTTATTAAGTGTAAAATAATTCGAGGTTACAAATTGATATCGAAAGGCAACAGAAGGTAGTGCAAACTGACAGTCAATAATTTTTTTTATTATTAGTTTGGTTCACAAACATCTACATTATAACTAGATCGCTAAAGGCCGTTACACATAAAAAAGTTTTAATCGTCACCGTAAAGCGTAAGCAAATCGACCAATCACACTTAAGCCGAGAGCACAAGCTTTTACATAAAGCATAACGCATAAGCATAAGGAAATATGATTGGTCTATATATAAGCATAAGCAAATGCATAAGGAAATGGACCAATCAATTTCCTTATGCTTATGCGTTATGCTTTATGCAAAAGTCTGTGCTCCGGCCATTATTCTTACATCGTATAGATGTGTAACTTGACCCTAGAAGACTAGGGACTTTATTGGCAGCTAATACTCTGTCTACATATTTTTAAGTCTATGGCCAACATAAAAGTTTTAACAAGAAGTTGCTCTACTATATACATGTATATACACCGTGATCTTGCTTCTGATTTTTTATAATTTTAACTTTTTCGCCGGTTGTCTTATGCTGATTGATTTTTCGGTTTGATTTCGCGAAATGGCGCAAAACAAGTTCAGTGAGATGGCCTCACGTTTTGGCAAGGGCACGAACGGCGTACCAACGGGCCTAAAAGTTCTCACCGCCGTCGGTCTTGCGGCATACGGTGCTTCTAAATCCATGTATACAGGTTAACCTCAATTTTCATCACGTTTTTGCTGAATATTTCAATAATCACATGCTATTTCCTAAACACTGTTTACCTTGAGTGAATGACAATTCCGAATGCGAGTTTAATCATTAAATGACATTGCGCAGATTGGAATTGTTTTATTGTCCATGAAATATTTTTTCCAGCAGTAATAGGCATGTCTTGTTATGTAATTGAGAACATAACTGACGCAATTTACAACATACACAAATCGTCGCATTTTAGATTTCTGTAATATAATATTTTCAACATGTTTTTCTTTTTAATTGTTAGCTACCTAAGACTGCGCATGTAGAACTAAGTTAAAGTTTAACTTTAATTATTTAATTTGATTTAGATTTTGAAGTTCCTATACTGTAACACAAAAGATTTAAATTTGCATAATGTAAATTTCAGTGGAAGCTGGACACAGAGCAATCATATTTTCTCGATTAGGAGGCATTCAAAAAGATATCATGACCGAAGGTCTGCATTTCCGTATTCCATGGTTTCACTATCCAATAATTTACGATATTAGAAGCAGACCTAGGAAGATCTCTTCACCTACGGGATCTAAAGATTTACAAATGGTCAACATCTCGCTACGTGTTCTGTCACGTCCTGATGCAAGCACATTGCCAATTATGTATCGGCAGTTAGGTCTTGATTATGACGAAAAGGTTTTTAAAACATTTATATATAGAAGTTTGGAAAGATTTTAGTATATTACATTCACAACATTTGGATTTAAATTCAATTTCTGTAATTCAGGTATTGCCAAGCATATGCAATGAAGTATTAAAGTCAGTCGTTGCCAAATTCAACGCCTCGCAGCTGATCACACAGAGACAGCAGGTATCCAACATGGTGCGCAAAGAATTGACAGAACGTGCTCGGGACTTCAATATCGTTCTGGATGATGTTTCCATAACAGAGCTTAGTTTTGGCAAGGAATATACTGCTGCGGTTGAGGCCAAACAGGTGGCCCAGCAAGAGGCCCAACGAGCTGCCTTTGTGGTGGAAAGAGCCAAACAAGAACGACAACAAAAAATTGTGCAAGCTGAAGGAGAGGCAGAAGCAGCAAAAATGATATCCTTTATAAAAACCATTTTCTTCAGCAATTTATGATATTATATTCTATTCAAAAAGAATATAATTCTCATAAGTGCATTGAAAAATATAGTTAAAACTCTTGCTATTGCTGCACATGTTGATTAAATCATCAGTTGGGGAATATGATTTATTTGTTATACTTTACAGTTCTATTTCAAATTCACATTTATTTAATGAATAGCTTATAAAAAATCAATATATAACACTGAGATTGAGTTTCTTTTCAAAATATAATAACCTTAACTGCAGTGCACCTTGGTTTAGCTGTCAGTCAGAATCCTGGATACTTGAAGCTGCGTAAAATACGAGCTGCACAGGCCATTTCACGTACGGTAAGCGCCCTTACAAATTCTAGCATCATTGCAAATTTGTAACCTTCTACATTGTTCAAATGTTAATTGAATATAAAATATGATATTTGACTTGAATACAAAAATCAACATTTTCTATATATTTCAAAAATCTTTAAATATTAATTATATAGTTAAAAGAATAATTTGCTTTGCTTTAGATCGCCAACTCCCAAAACAGAGTGTTCCTCAGCGGTAGTAGCTTGATGCTGAACATACAAGATCCTACCTTTGACGAGGGTTCTGACAAGCTGAAAAGTAAGAAGTAAAAATCGTCAAAGTGCACATCACTTTCTTTTTTTAAGTTTCCATTAAGTTTAAAGGATGATCGGATTATTATGTACAATTATAAATAGAATACTATGAATAAGATTCATCGGGTATCTTACAAAAAACTTATGATTTATATATACATATATATGTTCCCATGACACCATGTTCTCCTCATTGTCGTCCTTGTGATCATACTCGCTCGCGGATATTTTCGCGATTCACATTATTTCATCAGTAAAACGAAACATGATATCAATCAAATTTTCATTTCTTGTCAAAGAAAAAAAATAAGAAATTGAACGGCCTTAACATTAAAATTAGCAGTGCGTAAATTAAAAATGAGCTGTCGAGATAATAGTATCTGAGAGATGAGGGTATTCTGTACTCGCGCGCGCGCGCGCGCGCGCGTTGCTACACTTAGACTGCAATTGCTTACGCGTAGACGCCCGATACTGGCTTTTTCAGGTCACGAAGGAGTGAGCTGGAAGAGCTGGGATGAGGCGGCCGACTATGCTCTCCAGAAACTGAATACTCAGCGGGCATTACCAAGCGCTGAAAGGCTCGCCATCGAGACCCGATCACACGGAACACGAGTCCCCTCCGCCATCCCGTCACGTCTACTGGAATCGGCCGACAATGGCGCTAAACTAATAGTACCATGACGATAAACGAAAATTTTGCGACGCGAGCGAGTGTCTCGTCCCAACAAAATCCCCTTCTCTCTCTCTCTCCCCCTTTTTTTATTCTTCTCTGTTATTTTGTCCAAAGGTATAATCTTGCACACTTGACCTTTTGTGTACGTTTAATTGATGGCTACTGATGATGGAATAAAAATATAATACGATCATTATATTTTATCAGATTTATTTACTTTTATTAAACTTGGTTTTGCATTTTCCGCATTTGTCAGGTAAATGTGTAAGTTAATTCGATGCCTTATTTGCAAAGTTAAAATTTTATTCATAAAAGAGTATTTTTTCAATTATTAAAATAATCCCCGTTGTTTTTAATGATTTTATACCATCTTTCGCGTAGCTGTGTAATTTGGATTGCTAAAATAACTTGGAGGTTTTGAATTGATAAGGACGGCCAGGCATTTTGGAACGTCATTCTACGATTTAAAATGTGTATCACGCAAATGATGTTGCAGCGACCGAAATAGGCGGAAGTTTGAAGATACCAGATGTATGGATGAATAAGCCGAGTGCAGTAGAACTTTCCAGTCCAAACTAAAGATTGTCTCTTTTGTCCATTTAACGAAACTCATGCAATAAATAAATAAATAAATAAAATTCTCCAAAAAGATGGAATTTTATCTCAAAAAACACATTGTTCTCTTTTCAAGAATTTATCTGCGCAGTCTATTTTGAGCTCTTATTTTACGTTTAATGACATCATATACGAACAAACATTTGAAAGTTTTATGGACTCTCCTTTTTCTCTTATTGCTGACATTACTTTCAGGGATATTGACGAGAGATTAATCAATAGTTTGTCTTTGAAATCTCTTTTCTATTTTAGAAGTGGATGGTATCATTTTATAAACACATTTATAAAAGAAACAATAATAATAACAATAGAAGAGAAGATGGTAATGTTAAAGAGAGATTTTTTGCTATACCGTTTGTAAGATTTGTCTCCGAAAAGTTTATATTAACTATATAAAAATAAAATATATAAAAAGGCTCAAATAATTAAAACAATCACATAAAATTATCAGGAGCGCAAAAAGCCAAAATGCTAGATTTTAATGCGAGAATTTCTCTGAATTTCTGTATTTGAAAACTGCTTTTGTAACATTTTTTTTCTTTTTCGATATTTGTTTCTAGCACTGTACCATCAAGTGAATCATTAGATAATGCTTTTGGCTAAAAAATATTATTTTATATTTATTAACAATAATTGCACATGTTAAATTGCACTTTGTTGCAATATGTATGTTGTAAAATGACTTCATTTTTCTATTTATAATAGCACACAAATTAGTATTCTTTTTAAAATAATTAGTTATTAGTTTAACATATGCAAATATATTATTAATATACGAAATAATATTTTTTAGCCAAAAAAACATTATTAACTAACTTACACTGTTAGAAACAAATGTGGAAAAAAAAAAAGTTGCGAAAATCAAGTCTCGAATACGGGACTTCGAATCCGCTAGGCACTCGCCTTACTCGATTAAAAGCGCTTGTTTCTGAGCATTTGCCGTCCGCAATGTGTTTACGTCGGCTCGATGGTAGCAAGACAGAGACGTCCGCTCTCTCTCTATAGCCGAACGGCCGAGCGCACACAGACGCGTGACGTAAGCGCTTCTTACTTGTGTTGGGGCTCGAGAGCCGCGAGCCCGGTAGTAGATATCGCATCACTGGCGAGAAATCATATAATCATATTAAAATATATATAAACCTTTCGATCTGACGATCAGGCCTTCTTCAGTGTACAATAATAAATAATTAAAATACAAAAGGAAAGAATAGAAAAAAAGGTGTTGTAACGCGTGCATGTATGCCTGGTGATATTAAACTTGAGATATGCAACCTACGCAACGCATAAATTATTGTAGGATCAAGTGATAAATACAATCAAACTTCGATAACTCGAATCGCTAGGGAAATGAAAAATGCTTCGAGTTATAATAGTTTCGTCCTACAGAAGTTTTCGAATTATAGAAGTTTGGAATTTAAAGATTTGGCTTATAGAAGCTTCAAACAAAACTCTAGCATTTTTCGTGGTGTACAGATATTACAAAGAAGAATTCAATTTACTGAGGCCAGCCTTTTATTATACATATGTATTTGTGCATACATAATTTGTAACGAAGGAATTTAGATAAAAAAATAAATGAGCGCTAAGGGTATTGATACATGCTTGACAAGTTTCTACATGTAGAAAACAAAGCAAAACTGTTGATTGGCTATCACTTGGTTAGAGTAAATTTGAGTAATAGAGGTTGTGTATTCCAGAATTCGAGTTATAGAGGCAAATTAAATAAAACATCAATTCAAGTTACAGAGGCTTAAGTCACATGACTTCGATTTATAGAAGTATTTTCGAGTAACAGAGGCCATATTCTTTTAAATTTTAGTTATAGAGGCAAAATAAAACATCTAATGAGCTTCACGACTTGTTCGAGTTATAAGATGTATTTATTTTGATTTATAGAATTTTTAGCTTTTTAATATCAAGAAAAAAAAAAATATGTACCCAGCGAGAAATAATTCTTCGAATTAATGTCGAGTCGACATCAATACGATTCAATATCGATTTCAACGTCAATTAGACATCCATTTGACGTCGATTAATAGATCATTTCTCGTTGGGTAATTAAACTTATAAAAGTCTTCGGCTTATGAAATCTCGAGTTATCGAAATTCGACTGTATAATTTTTTTGATTGTAATAAATTCATGTTATTGGTGTTCGTACAGATACAAAGAAAATGAAATGAATGGAAGAGTCAAAAATAAATAAACATCTTGTTAAAAAATTTAAATAATCTTAGTAATTTAACATTTCTTTTTTTTATCTCATTTTTTGCGTCTGGGCGAACATCGATGACATGAATTTATTACAATAAAAAACCTCTACGTATTTTCATCTTTATCCACTGACTTTGCAATAACTTTCGCATCGCGTATCTCAAGTTTATTATGTCTTACTTTAATTTATTTGTTAAATGATTACATGCGATATTTATTCAATATTTATTATTGTACACTGAAGAAGGCCTATCAGGTCGAAACGTTCATATATATTTTAATATAATTATATGATTTTTCACACTAAAATTTGACATTTTCGCTCTTTATTATGTTTAATTTTCGCAATTTATCAGGTATGTCTTTAAATATTCTTATAATGTTTCACATCTGATCTCTATTCGATTAATAATTTAGACTTCTACGAAACTATGTACTGAAGATGGTCGAAAGATCGACTGAAACGTTTATACGAATTGTATCTGAATAAAGGAAGATTATTAGAAGCGACGGAAACTTGCTTGGCTCCTGATTTTTTTAAAATTAAATTAATAAAATTCTTATTTTAGATTTATTACCAGTAATTATAATGTGCGAATATTTGGATACAACGTGTTAGATCCGAAACGTCCTAAATAAAAAATAAATATTATTGACTACTGATGTAAACTACAAAAAGAGATGGAAAAAATAAAAGGAAAAAGTCTCGCCTCTATATATTTTTCTTCTAGTCCAACATGTACATAATTTTGCATTATGTAAATCATCACGATTATTAAATGCCAATTTAATGCATGATTAAATTTGCAGAAAGTAAAAACAAATAAAAAGTTTTATTAAAAGTGATGCAAGGTCGGTCGATCTGCGTTTCGATCTTACGTTCATACGTTTTCATGTCGCATTTTCTGAAAACTGACTTGAAACAAAACTGAAATAAAATATTATTTTAGCGAAAATAAATTCACTTTGTTCGAAGATGGTAAAAAATTTGTCTATTCGATAAGTCAAGCCTGCAACCGGAAATAAGTCACAAATTTCTCATATTGTTCTTGAGATCAGCCGACTTTTAAGGTGTTGTTTCAAGCTGACTCTCGACGCTCAATTTTAACGTTAGAAAACATCATGAACCAAAAACTACTGCAATGATTGTTATTTTTAGTCACGTGATGTCTTCTAACGCTGAAATTGAGCGTCGAGCGTCAGCGAGAAAATGTACTTTTAGTGTTTTTAGCAATATTGATAACAAATTTAATCAAATGTTAATATTACTAATATTTTGCTTACTGAAAGACTTATTTTTTCGTAATACCCCAATAGGAAAGTATTTCTAAAACTATATGACGAAATCTTATAGGCAATTTATGTTTTGCAATTATGTAAATATATTTCAACAAATAGATGTAAAATATTGATCTTTTATGCCATATTAATTATTGTTTGCGTAATGAAATACTAAATAGTATTTCGGCAAATCTATCACAAACCGGCATACCTGACTTCACATTTCACGTGCATTCACGTTGTGGCTTGTTTGGCGTTGTGGCGTCTTATTCGTTATTATACTAATTCGTATTGTACAAAGAACTGTACAAAGTCTTGTACAAAGAAAGTGTCTCGGAAAATAAGAGTCAATCAAGATTGTGATGAGTGTTGAATCGAAAGGAATACGTGTAATTTATAATCACGTGAATCAAGCTAGAAAGGTCTTACATTCCGAATACATAACACGTATGTATATATATATTTATGCATGTTTTTTTTACATTAAACAGTTTTATTATATTGTTTTATAATATAAAATTAACATTTTTAATACATATACATACCCAAACAGCACAAAATATTCGAAGAATATTTTAATATTCTTAAAATATATGGAAGAACCTTGTTAGAATATTTTCCTAATATGTTTTGCTGTCTGGATACAATATATAAAAGATTATATTAATTAGAATATTATATTTATTATTAATCGTTGTACGTGTATAATATTCTCATAAATATTTTTCAGATATTGACTTGTCTGGTGACGTCTTATTCGTTATTATACTAATTCGCATTGTACAAAGAACTGTACAAAGTCTTATACAAAGAAAGTATCTCTGAAAAAGGGAGAGTGGGATTATAAGTGTTGAATATAAAGGAATACGTGTCATTTATAATCACGTGTCAAGCTAGAAAGGTCTTACATTCCGAATACATAACACGTATGTATTTATTCATGTTTTCTTTAAATTATATAGTTTTATAATATTGTTTTATGATATAATTAACATTTTTAATACATATATAGACCCAGACAGCACAAAATATTCCAATAATATTCTGATATTCTTCCATATATTCTAACAACCACACCTTACGCTGCATGGGTCCTCGGATTGAGATTTTTTTTGAAGCATAGTTAGTTTGGGCCTACATAAGATATTTCTAGTAAAACAGTTTGAGTGCATGGGCTTTGGTTGACCATTAGCAGGGCTTCAATGTTGCATCTTTAACTAGCACTTTTGTAATGTAATTTTTTTACCCACCACTTTGCAATAAATTTGAGCAATATTTATCCATATCACATTTATATATGCCTACCAAGTTACAAATAATACACAATTGCTAAAATTAACATTATTATTTACGCAAAAGGCAAAAATCATTATCACACATAAATGATTTGTCTGCGTTTTACTAGTAATGTTACTTTTGACAATTGTGTATTATTTTTAACTTGGTAGGCATATATAAATTTGTGATATAGATAAATATTGTTCAAATTTATTGCAAAGTGGCGTGTAAAAAGGTGCCATTACAAAAGTACTGGTTAAAAGTGCAACATTGAAGCCCTGCTAATGGTCAACCAAAGCCCATGCAGTCAAACCGCTTTACTAGAAATCTTATGTAGGCCTAAACTATAACTATGTTACAAAGGAGATCTCAATCCGAGGACCCACGCAGTGTAAAATAACGTGTGGTAGTAAGAATATTTGGAAAGAATATTCTTAAAAATATGGAAGAACTTTATTAGAATATTTTCCGAATATTTTGTGCTGTTTGTGTATATATATATAAAAGATTATATTACTCAGAATATTATATTTATTTATTGTTAATCTTTGCACGTGTATAATATCATAAATATTTTTTCAGGTTATATTGTCTTGTTTGGCGGTGTTTATAACAATATTTTATATTCTGTGAGGAAACGTAATAACATTTATCAAAGTATTTTTGAAAGTTATTGTTCATTCATATATTTGTATATAAAATATTTGTAGATGTGAAATGTGCCTTTCAAAGAACATTTATTGTATTTATGTATTGTTTATGTGCTATTAATGCGGTCAGCCTTGTCAGCTTTATTATAACACAATTTAACAAAATTCTCATTTTTTATATATTCATAATTTGTGCGTTAAGTCTAAAAATGTCATGTTTGAAAAGAAATTTTTATTTAAAAGCGTCAATTAGTCGTAAAAATCCAAACACTGTTGGAATTCGTCAACGTCAAAAAATTCGTAAAGAGATAAAAAGAAATTATATAAAGTTTACACAATTAAAAATGCCTGAACAAAATAAAAATGATATAAAAGTTTCAATGGAAAAAGAGCAGCTTTGGAGTGAGAGTAATCATCAAGAGAAAATATCTAACACATTATGTTTTTCGTCTGTAAACGGATCCTTTCATCCAAAAGAAATATGTATTCCGATATCGTCATCACATATTAGTAATACTCTAAAAAATGATAATATTCATATTAATACAACCTCCTCCGATATTTTCGAAGATAGTAACGTCAGTTTTACAAATAACAATATTAGAATTGACAACGATGTAGAATGTATTAAACAGAAATTGGCAAAATGTTTTATACAATGTGATTTAAATCATTGTCAAATAGAATCTATATTATCTATATTAAGAAGTCATAAATGTTTAATAAATCTTCCAAAAACTGCGCGAACTTTGTTACAAACTGAAACAAAGCCTGTAACTCTTACAACAATCGGTTCAGGTGTATATTTGCACATAGGATTTGAAAAAGCAGTTAATAATATTTTACAAAATATTCCCTCAGAATTAATACCAAATAAACTATTTATTGATATTAGTACAGATGGTGCTTCAGAAGATAAGAGTAGTAGAATTCAAATATGGCCATTACAATGCAGAATAGTTAATATTTGTCGAGAAAGACCTGAAACAATAGGTATATATCGTGGTAAGAAAAAACCAGACAATGCCATGGAATTTTTTTCACAGTTTTTAATTGAATGCGAACAACTTAGGTCAAAAGGTGGAATTTCTTTTAACAATAAAATTATTCCATGGGAATTTCGAGCGTTCATAGCAGATGCTCCTGCACGAGCATTAATATTAAATCATTACGGGCACATGTCATATAATCCGTGTTCAAAATGTAAGATCACTGGTGTTCTGTCTAATAAAGGTCATGTCATTTTTCCAAACATTGATAATGAGAATCGTTCTGATAAGGAATATCGGGAACGAAACGATGAAGATCATCATAAAGATGGTGATACACCTATAGCTTCTCTTTTTCAAGATATTGTAGCACAAACTCCTTTTGAGTACATGCATTTGGTACTGTTAGGTATAGTAAAGAAAACATTAAGTGCTTTTGTCACTGGTAAATACGGAAAAAATACTAAGTTGTCGAAACATCATATTGACATAATATCAAAGATTGAATATTATTAGCTCTTATTGCTCTCGAGAATTCAATCGCAAACCCAGATCAATTTCAGAATATGGAAATTTTAAAGCAACAGAATGTCGGCAGCTTTTACTTTATACCGGTATTGTTATATTCTTTGATATTGTCGAGCAAAACGCTTACAATCATTTTTTATTGTTACATTCAGTTATGAGATGTCTCTCTAATAATTCACCATCCGAAAAATTATTATATTTTTCTGAACTTGCAATAAAATCCTATGTGCAATTAAGCTCAGTTATTTACAATGAAACGTTTGTTTCGTATAATGTACATGGCTTACTTCATTTAGTAGATGACGTGAGAAGATTTGGTTCGGTTGATAATTTTTCTGCATTCCCGTATGAAAACAATATGACTTTTTATCGAAAAAATTGTCGAAAACCTAATCAACAACTGCAACAAATAGTACGAAGAGCATCAGAAAAAATAAAATTGCTAAAAAAATAATCAACAATTCCATTCAGAGCATTATCGTTAATAAAATGCACAGTAAAGGACCACTTCCAGAACATATTTGTTGCTGCAAACAGTTTTCGAGAATTCGTTATCATCATTTAGATTTAAATTTACGTAAGCGCGACAATTGCTGTATTCTTAAAAATGGTGCTATTTGCATCATAGATAATATTATTTTTACCGACAATTCTTATTTCTTATTTGTACGTAATTTCAATCTTATTGAAGACTTTTATGATGTCGGTATAAAATCTTCGACGATCGGCGTATACAAATGTTCAAACTTATCTGACATAAG